ATATATGTGAAATTATGAATCAATCTGATCTTTATCATATTGGTCTAAAACTCTTTCATTTATGTGACGCCCCAAATTTGAAGTTAAAAGTTTTGGGATAACCCGATAAAACCTAGAACAATCCTATTAGCTTATGGGAAGACCATGACCCAAGTTTAAATGGATTTGGGCTTGGTTGAGCCTAACATGAGTTAAAAAATGAGTGTTTTTAATTGGCGACTAAGATCAATTCACCCTTTTTTTTTTATGAAAGATTGACTTTTTTTAATTATGGGTGAGAACACGTAGCAAACCTCTTTTTCTTCATACCATTTGTCTTCTTCTTCTTCTCTCAAGCCTTCATCTTCTCTCTTCATTCTTCCTTCAAGTTGGTATAGCAAAAGGTGGTAAATTGGTGAACTAGCAAGCTTAGTTAAGATTCTAAAGGTAAGAATCCTAACACTCTCATCCCAAGCTTCAAATTAAGCTCTTAATGGCAAGTTTTGGTCATAGATTCCAAAAGTGGGTTTAGTAGGGGTTTTGCAAACCTGAGAGAAATCCACTCGTTTTTTAGGAACTTCAACTAGGGGTGACCCATATATCTTTAGATTAGAGGGTGACCCATGCAACGCAATTACAGAGAGATTATACCATGAAATAAGACATGAAGGGGTTGGTGGATTTGGATTTATTCAACAAAATGGGGTCTTATAAAATGCAAAGGGGGATAAGGTCAGTGTATTCCGTGTTACGTTTGGTGAGCATTGCAATGCATGGATCACAAATATCCGCACTTTTAAGTTTTAGGTAAATGACAGCAGTAAGTGTAATGGGAAGGGGTCCAAGGTGTTGGCTGATTCTAATCTCAATATTCAGTCTCTCCTTGAGAATTTTGGGTTTGCATTTAATTTTCTCTGTAAATGAACCACGATGTACAAGTTGTTTCGTTTCTTTTCTTTTCTGCTGAGCATGAGATTTTGGGTTTGTATTTAATTGTTATGAGCATCAAGGCTTCTTTGTATTGCAATAAATAAATACACAAATAAATGGAGTTTCTTTTACACGCTACTTCAAGTTTAGTGTTTCCGTTTTACATTTGGGAGGGGTTGAGTTAAAAAAAATAGTGAAGTTCCCAGTTCTAGATGAAGAATTGAAAGGAAAAAAAAAAAGAAATAAATTGACACGTATACACTGGATTGGTTAAAAAGGAAAACACATATGCTACATTTGTAAAAATAAAAAATTTCAAAGTGTGGCATATGTGCAATGCTTGACAAATATAAGTATCAAATCGACAAGTATGATGTAACACCCCAACCCGTATCCGACCCGGATACGAATTTGAGATGTCACATTGATTTTTCAAAACGATTTATTGTACAACATAGATAAAAGTTTTAAACTTTCATTATAATAAAACTAAATAATTTACATAAGTATAATAAAAAGGATTACAAAATCGATCAAAGCATGTTTGATTTAAACGTTCCTTTAAATGCCAACAAAATAAAATGTAACACAATACATACAATTTAAATCAATTTTGATATGATTTTCAACTGATCGATGATGTCTTGCCCACTTGCCCTAACTTGGATCTCCTTGTTTCTTTGAACCTACGTGTGAAACACTCACACGCTAAGTCACATACTTAGTGAGGCATACTATATAATAATGCAATAATGAAATTTTGTAACATACAATCATATAATATCATAATGTAATAATAATCATCATATATTTATTCAACAAAACATACATGGACATGTATTTAACAAATAATAATCTATCACAATATTCAATGTTATTTCATATTATATCTTTTATTAGTCCATGGGACATTACTGAGAACTTAAGATATGTGAGTGCATTGAGGTTGTACACAAATGTTGTCACCACAGCTCGTATAAAATGCACCGAAGTGCCGCGTAGAAATGCACCGAAGTGTCATATAAAATGTCCCGAAGGACCACATATATATCTCGAAGGACCACGTAGAATTGTCCCGAAGGATCATATATATGTTCCAAAGGACTAAATATATGTCCCAAATGACCGCATATATGTTCCAAATGATCACATATATGTCCCGAAGGACCGCGTAGAACCCTCAACTCTTGGCATGCCAATTATACCCTCAACTCTCATATCACATAACGTGAGTTTTACCATTTATCATAATTCACATGACTTATATCACATAGACATATAATCTCATAGCTTCTTATCACATAGTTCATGTAACATTCTCATATGTTCACTTAGATCATTGTCTTATAACACATGTCATATAGATTCATGTCGCATATCATATCATGTAATGCAAACAAGATATATTCACACAGTACAAATCATAATCAGCTTCTACTCATGCAATCATGTATTCAATATGTCGGAAACAGACTTGTCACAAGTCTAATTTCCATATAGCAATACCTATATTCTAAAAGTATGCACTCACCTTAGCCTCACTTAGTCCAATCAACTCCTATAACTCTTTATCTTTCTCTCGATCGATGTTAACTCGTCGACTATTCCAGAACTTGCTTATGTTCGATATCTACATGAATGTAAATTCTATGTGATTATTAGAATTCTAAACATTATGAATCGATCCTCAATAACCTAAGCTAACAGAAGTACTTAATTCACATTTTCACTTTGAGTAGTATCAGTACCCAAGGTACAGTACTGATACTTCCTTTACTGTGGTATCGATATTGTGCTTGAGTATCGATACCCTTTTCCGATTCTGGAATTCTATTTCTAAAATGGTATCGATACCTGTATAATGGTATCGGTACCCTTGGTATCGATACTACCCCTTTCAGTATCGGTACTCCTTAAACAATTTGTCAACTTTTGGTTATACCCCAAATATTACAAGTTTTCTCTTTGGAGTATCTGATACCCCTAGCCTAGATATAACTCATTTAACCCGAAAATTTATTCAAACTTGGCTAACTTTCTCATCTACACTTCTTTAAAGCTTTTAAACTCACCTATACTCTTCCAAACCAACTTATTTCACTTGAATACTTCTAAACACCTAAATTCTCAATAGCATACTTGGAATCAAAAATCATACCAATTTTTTAACTTTGTTATAAAGCCTTTCTAACCACTAACATCTCTTATTCTAACCGATGACAAGTCAATTTTAATCTTAAATTTCACTTACTAACTCTATCTCACAATTTCACTTAGAAACATCTTATTTTCAATCCTCCATAATTACAATTCTTTTAGTTTCTATATCCCTTTAAGTTTTCATAATCCTTTTTAATGCTTCAACAATCAAAACCATTCATGAATTTCAAGAAATCACCATCTGAAAACAAAAATCACCTTAGATATTGAGCTCACGTGGAGATGAGGAAGAAGGGTGAAGAGATTTCTGGAAAATCTTTTTATTTCCCTCCACAAGCTCCACGTGGTTATAAAATAACCATAACCAATTTTTTAATTATTTCCTTATCTAATGACTAATATGTCCTTCCAACTTTCCTTCTTTGCTATTCAATCCTACACAAAGATATTTCAATCAAGTCCCTAAAATTTTCAATTTATCTAATTTGATCACAAAATTTTCAATTTATCTAATTTGATCACAAAATTTTAAAATATTTCAAATTGATCACTAAACCGGTGTTTGGGATGTTACATATGACATGTGCAGTGTTTGACAAACACAAGTATCAAATTGATTTAAAAAATAAAATAAAATAAAATATTGCATTTATAAAAGCAAAGACATTCAAATACTAAATAATATATTAAACGTTTTTATAATCCTCCTTAAGGGTTCAATAATTGGAAATGAAATTTAGACTGTTCTCGCTTTAAGTATTCTTCATTGACATGAGCCTTCTTTTGAATTTTTGTTTTTTAGGAACAATTTGAACTCGGATGAGAGTTGACATGGTATACTCGATCAAATTTATTTTTGCGCTTAATATAAAAGTAAGTGTTCAAATTATATTCAAAGTTAATTTTGGGTGTTTAATTTTTTTTCGTTAAAATATAGGTGCATAACTTTTCTAACTTTATACTTTTAGATGCATGAATTGTAACCTCCGTTAAATTTGGACGTTATCTGACACATGATTTTTTTATTTAAAAAAACACTTAAATTATTATTTAGAAAAACCCATTTTTTTAAATTATAAAAAAACCATAATCTCTAAAACCTAATTTCAAACCCCTCACCATCTCTGGCCGTCACAATTGTCGCCAATTGGCCGAAATCTCGATGGCACACGATCGCCCAAACACCCACGACCAAACCCCATGCTTCAAGTGAAGATTACGATGACTTATTGATTTTGACTAAGAGTGATGATTCTAGCGATTCAGGCAGCGATTTCTCTCGCCGTGTGTTGAAATCAAGTTAGATGAAGTTGTCGACAATCAAGGCAACAACATCGACAACCGACATGGGTAAAGGGGGTTTGAAATTAGGACTTTTAGAGTTTCAATGTTTTTTAGATTTAAGAAAAAATGGAGTTTTTTTTTATAAATAAATAATATTTTATTATTATCATTTTACAATAAAATTTTAAATTTTTATCGACATGACACATTTTACTTAACGATAGACACTTAAAAGTATAATGTTGAAAATTTTATACACATATTTTTAACCAAAAATTCTTTGGACACCTAAATTTAACTTTGGGTACTTATTTTTGCATTAATACTTTATTTATAATTACTCTTTTGGGTAAAATAAGCAACTTTTATAAACATTAGAGATATTATTGACCGAAAAGTTAGATACCAAATTAGAAAAACAAATAAATATTGCGGGTGAAAATGTATCAAGTCAAAAACCTTTTCAAAATCCTCTAATTATTCTTCAAACAGGAGACTTTCTCGGATCTTTGTTGTTTTTAGGGTCGGTTCGGGTCGGGTTTGACCCAATCGACTCGAACGAGACAATTTAAGGTTCGTAATCTTAAATCTTAATTAGATTAAAACAAATTTCAGTTTTGATTGGAGAACAAGGGCTAGAGAGTACATATTAGATCGAAATTTTAACGAACCCATTCTCCCAATTTGTTTCCTCTCTCTTCATATAGTAATTTTCCTCGCCATATTTTGCTAAATAGAAAGTAGCAGATGGCGGAGAGGCAGCTGATCGTGGCAGTTGAAGGCACCGCCGCCATGGGTCCCTACTGGCAGACCATCCTTTCTGATTACCTCGAAAAGATTATCAGGTTTCCTTCCTTCCCTCTTTCTTTTCTCTTACTCCAATTGCTTTTGTTTGATTCCCATTTATACTCGTAAATATAGTTACAATATTTTTTAATCTCTTTTTTTATTTATTAAATTTCCATTCTTGTTATGTCTGTTGAAATTTTCTAGTCGAGATTCAGTAACTTTTTGCTCATGAAATTATGCTTTCTGGATTTCGTTTTATACTCCCTCTAGATGGTCCCGTTTTAAGTATTCTGTATGTTGATGGTCACATTCATTGAATTCTTAACATAAAAATGCAAATTTATGCCATGAATTTAGTGCCACAACTGATAGGGGGGAAATATCTGATTTTCTTGATCCTGCGTTTACCTTAAGATCTTACTCAAGAAAGAGTCTAAAGTGGAGTTCATAATTCAGTTGGAGTTTACTGGAATTTCCTCATTTTTTTAAATTTACATGATAAAATCTGATAATTGCGTTTTGCTTGTGTTTTTCTTCTACCTAAGCTACGTCATCCATCCTGTATTGGACTTGCGGCATAACCTTATTTGAATGTTTTTATAGTCAAACCTATAGCTTGTCTGATATATTATGGTAACTCCACAGGTGTTTCTGTAGTAACGAATTGGCCGGTCAGGTAAAAAGGCTAATCTCCTCCCTCTTTCGATTTTTAGAGAAGCAACTTTTCTAAATGCATAGTCTTCATCATTTTATACAACATCAACTGCCACTTATATCAGCACTCGGGCACATGATATTGGACAATAAATGATATCTATTGTAGATAATTTAGCAAACATTTTTTGACTATTGCATTAACAAATGACTGTTTGTAAGACAATGTTTATAGGCAAACTGGAGTAGGCCTCCAAATTTACACAAGGGGATTAGCATCCATTTGGGCGCATTTGGAGGGCCGGGCCATTTAAATTAAAATATTTCTTTCTGGCCACTTTAAGACATTCAGTTTGCTCAATGTTGTGTTTTATATTATTTTTGCCATGTTTAAATACAGAAGAATTCTACAGCAAATGTTGAACTTTCATTGGTTACGTTCAACACGCATGGATCATACTGTGGTATATTATTGCTGCTCTGATTCCTTTTTTCCTTTTAAAACTTAAAGTGGGTTACTGCTATAAAAACTACATTTTTTGTGGAAAATGTGATGCTATTTGTAGCTTGCCTAGTACAACGTAGTGGGTGGACAAAAGATGTTGATATTTTCTTACAATGGCTGTCGGCCTTACCTTTTTCTGGTGGTGGTTTCAATGATGCTGCAATTGCTGAAGGGCTTTCTGAAGCATTAATGGTATGACATGTCTATCTTTTGTGTTTCAAAGTGAATTTGTGCTTTTGGTTTATGTTCTAATTAAAACCTATTTTGCGGAAATTGCACCAGATATCTTTAGCCTATTTAGGTTTGTTAATTATAAAAAAATTTATTGCTCCAATTGAATCTTCATATTTATTAAAATGCTATAAATATACCTCTTCCTGCCATATTGTCAATTAAAATTTGACAGATTTTATCCCTATAGGCCTGATATGCTATCGTAATACATTTATCATGACATTTTACTATTTAGTCATTTGATGCACTACTCAGATGTTTCCCATTGCTGCAAATGGAAATCAAATCCATCAAATTGTTGATGGGCAAAGACATTGCGTTCTCGTTGCTGCCAGTAATCCTTACCCTTTACCTACACCAGTTTACCGACCACAGACTCAAAACTTGGAGCAAAGTGAAAATATGGAATCACAGACAGAGAGTCGTCTGTCTGATGCTGAGACAGTAGCTAAATCATTTTCTCAGGTAGTTTGACAGTACTTTTATTCTCATCTCCTAGTTATGGCCTTCATTTTTAGGAGGTTAATTGACCTGTTGTTTTTGTTCTGCAGTGTTCTGTTTCTCTATCTGTGATATGTCCGAAGCAGCTTTCAAAGCTAAAAGCAATCTACATAGCTGTAAGGATTATGATGATAACATTTCTTATTCTTTTTTTGTTGTTAATCTTTTGGGTACTTTCTCTCTAACATTAGATATGTTGGCTATGTCTTCCAAGACCTGCTAGTCTCTTATACTTTTAAGAAAATATTTGAAAGGATCTATGCACTGTAATGTGCTGGTTGACTAAGATGATAGTTCCATTGCACTTTTTGAAATTTTGTGTTATACATATGAAGTACTCTCTAAGGTCAGGATGAGCTTTTGTATACGTATAAATAAACATGTGGATAAACTATTATCTAGTAGAATTTTTCTGGACTTTATCCTGCATCTTTTTCTTTACTTAACATTCTCTACTAACTGGTGTTAGGTAGGTATTCTAACTGCATTGCTCAAATACAGGGAAAGAGAAACCCCAGAGCACCAGATCCACCTGTTGACAATGTTCGAAACCATCAGTTTCTTGTTCTCATTTCGGAAAATTTTATGGAGGGCTGTGCTGCTTTAAGTCGCCCTGGAGTTCCAACTTTGGCACCCAATCAGAGTCCTGTCAAAATGGACATGGCTTCTGTCACTTCGGTTACAGGGACACCTCCAACTTCTGTTCCATCAGGTAGTTTATGCAGCATCGTTGATAACTTATGATAGAATGCTGTTTTAACTGGATGCTGACCGTCATATGTGGATGATTAATATATGTGCTTAGTCATATTCATAACTCAGCTCTCTTTAGCGCATCAGGAAATTGGAAAGCAGGAAACTAACATATATTACACCGGATGCAGAGCCTCTCCACTTTTAACTTTTGAGTTTTGTTATCCTATTTCTGTCTGGTCTATTTTTTTTTTTGATAAGATTTTCTGGTCTAATTTCATTAAGCTAGAATCCTTAAGATTATCTTTTCAGTTTCATTATTAAAGAAGGATTCTTTGAAGATTGCCAGGTAATAGAAGGTCAAAGCCTCTTATTGATCGACTTGTTTCTTCTTCTTCTTCCAAGAAGTAGGAAAAGAGGAAAAAAAAGAAGAAACTATGGAAAAAGCTTACATACATTCCCTTTGTTGCAGAACTTAATATTGAAAACAGAAGACCTGTACTGTATCTGTAACCTTGTTGTACATCTCATTTCTTTTAATAATGCCATGTCGTAAATGGTGCAACCAATATAGATGTATACAAATTAGGATTAGATTATGTAAGCAATGACAAGTTAAGTTTGTTATTCATTTATGTGATCAATTCTTGCTTAAGACTTGTTTTTGTTTTGGTTTCTAGTGAATGGATCTATGAGCCGGCAACCTGTCTCTGTGGGAAATGTTCCCACTGCTACTGTAAAAGTTGTAAGGCTTTTGTACTTTTAGTTATTTGAGGGTTTTTTGTTGTTACCATGATACATAATCATATCATATTCTTCAGGAGCCCACAACAATAACATCCATGACGAGTGGACCTGCTTTTCCACATGTTTCATCTGTTCCCCGTGCACCATTTCAAGCAGTCCCAACCTTGCAAACTTCGTCACCGTTGACAACTACCGAAGAAGTGACTAGAAGTAGTGACAATTTGCAAGAACTAAAACCTTCTGTAAATGGTATGACACAGCCTTTGCGTCCTGTGCCTCCAGCTGCTGCAAACGTCAACATACTAAACAATCTTTCACAAGCAAGGGTGATGAACTCTGCTGCTTTAACTGGAGGAACTTCTATTGGACTTCCGTCAATGGGTCAAACTCCCGTCGCCATGCATATGTCCAATATGATATCTAGTGGAATAACATCCTCTGTGCCTCCGGCTCAAACTGTATTTTCACCTGGGCAATCGGGTATGACTTCATTAACTGGTTCAGGAACTGTTACAGGGACTACACAAGTTCCAGCAAACTCAAGTCTTAATTCATTTGCTTCGGCAACTTCTAATGTGACTGGAAGTTCAAACATTGGAATATCACAACCAATGGGTAATGTTCAAGGAACGGTGAGTATGGGCCAGTCAGTACCTGGCAGCATGAGCCAAGGAAACCATTCAGGAGCACAATTAGTGCAAACTGGAGTTGGCATGAGCCAGAGCATGAATGGTCTTGGTCCATCAACTGTTTCTTCTGGAACTGGTGCAATGATGCCTACTCCAGGAATGTCTCAACAGGTACCATCTGGAATGCAGACACTCGGAGTGAACAACAGTTCAGCTGGGAGTATGCCCCTATCACAACAGACATCAAGCGCTTTGCAATCAGCCCAATCCAAATATGTTAAAGTCTGGGAGGTAATCTACGTGATTATTAATAATTAGATATGCTGTTTCGGTGAAAATATCTAGTTGCAATGAGTAGACATTGAAATATGCCATATGAATTCCTTCTAAACTCTAGTTGTAGTTTATTTATTTTTATTTATTTTCACATATATCGTGCTAGAAGTACTTGATAGTTTTGCTTCTTATATTTTTGTTTGATTTTGGATCTCCCAGTAGAACATATATTTGCTGAGAGCTATTCTTTTTCCTGAGGAAGACATGCAGTGTACAATCTTAGAATAGTATTACTTGGTGTATAATAGTCTTGGTGATTTGATATTAATATTTTTTTCTATAGTAGTTTGATCCCTCCTTAAATCTAAAGGGCATTATCATTAACGACAAGTATAATTTTCTTGAGGCTTTATTTTTGTTGTAAGACGTGATGAATATTGGATGCTTATAAGTTGAAACAGCCTTATTTTTAATGACACTTTTGAAGCCTGTTAAAGAAGGAAATGAAATGTTGTTGGGATGCTTCTGTGAAAACATTCCATGCTTTTCCATTTGCTTGAACTATAACCTTTGTTTTATCTTGGTTAAGGCAATGCCTTGACCTAAACTAGATATAATATTAGAGGTTTTGTTAGTTTTACTGAGGTATTGTTTGAGGCAGTGTTACCTAAACTTTGAGGGAGTGACCAAGAGACAAAATAAAAGAGACGTAAAAAGAAAACCTGCAATGCTTTGACTTCGCTTTCCACCTTGTGTATCTTGATTTTCTATTTTCGTTTCTCTTGTAAATATGTTTAAATGACGTTGACGACTTTTGTGTTTTATAATCTCTTGTGCTATTTGCCTTTTCATTGTTGTATATTTGGTTGCGGGATTGCTAAATGGTCAAATATATACAGGGAAATTTATCTGGTCAAAGACAAGGGCAGCCAGTGTTCATCACCAGATTGGAAGTATGTTCCCAAGATAATTTGCTTCAAATATACCACTTCTTCTTTTTTCATCTTATTTTCATTTTTGATTTTTTTTATGAATGACTTGTATACTCTGCATATATCACACATCTAACATCGGAGCCATCTCATTTGCCTCTCTAATTTGATGTGTAAAATTTTTGTTTTAAATATTTGTTTCAGGGTTATCGGAGTGCCTCAGCTTCTGAGACGTAAGTCTATGTTTAATGCGTAGATTCTTGAAATTTTTTGTTCTATTTGAAAATAATTATTGATAAAAAATGCAATCATTTTGTTCCTTTTAATGGTTGCCTTGCTGTTGTTGCGTGGCTTTGGTTCTTGCATTACCATACTCATTTTTTTGCATACATTTAATGCATATCTAACTATAGAACCTGAGGGTTTTAGTTTTTGTTGTCAGACTTGCCGCACACTGGCCACAAACCATGCAAATAGTTCGTCTTATATCCCAGGATCACATGAATAACAAGTAAGTTGTTGGTGAAAACATTTTCCACCTTCAGTTTTCTCATTAATTTTTTTGAAATCAGGCAATATGTCGGGAAGGCGGATTTTTTAGTTTTCAGGGCAATGAATCAGCATGGATTTCTCGGACAGCTGCAAGAGAAGAAGCTTGTAAGTGGTTTTAGGATAGATTTTCCTTTGAAGCAATGAAGAGTATATATTTGAGTCTCTTATAAGACTCTTGTAGACCCCCTCCCACATAAGCAAATTTATGCTCAGAATCATATTCTTAGTAAAATTGTATAGCATCTCATTTGTGTTTCTAGGAACCATGTTGAGTTTTAAATTTCTCAAGATATTATCCTATCAACCATTTGCAAATGTTGAATTGTGGAATTGTTACTGCTATATTATTCTGACACAATTTCATGCTTTTAATTCCCAGTGTGCTGTAATCCAATTGCCATCACAGACATTGCTTCTTTCAGTTTCTGATAAAGCTTGCCGCTTGATAGGAATGCTTTTTCCCGGGGTAAGAATTTTCTGACTTTTGAGTCCGAACTTTGGTCGGTTGAGTGTGTTTTAATATAATTATTATATCCAGGTTTTAGTTCTAGCCTTCCACTGTTCCACCTTATCCGTACCATTTTGGAGTTGATAAAAACCTGCCACTAAACTCAACTTGCACTGTTTCAACACTCTATTAGCCCACCACCCTGTCCAGACAAACCAAAGAAGATAAATAAATGGAAAAATTTTTGTTGAAAAATCTATGAACTAAATGAGTAGCCTGTGACTTTGGTCTCCATTTGCATCTTGCTTTTGCTGTCAGCTTTGGACCTCAGCTTCTTACAGATTACCAAACCTGAATCATCATTAATTTAGGTTTCCCCCCCAAAAAAAGTTACAATTTCAGTTTTTACTTATCCAAAAACATTACTTGCTTTTTTGCAACTAAATTAAAAGACAATAAAGGAAAACAGGCAGCAAATGGGATGGTAAAATATTATTTAATTACCAGTCCACTTAACTAGAACTTTTCATTTTATTTGAACTAAGATCTTTGTGGAATTCAGGATATGGTTGTCTTCAAACCACAAACATCAAGCCAGCATCAACAGCAGCAATTGCAACAGCAGCAGATGCAACAGATGCCACAGCTTCAACAGCAGCAGCAACTGCAACAACAGCAGCAACCACAGCAGCTCCCACATTTGCAACAGCAACAACTCCCTCAGCTGCAACAGCAGCAGCAGCAACAACAACAGCAGCAGCAGCAGCAACAACAGCAGCAGCAGCTCTCCCAGCTGCAGCAGCAACCTCAGTTGCCCCAGCTACAGCAACAACTTCAGCAGCAGCAGCAGCTAGGCCAGATGCAGCCACAGCAGCAACAAATGGTTGGATCAGGAATGGGTTCAGGTTATGTACAAGGTCCAGGCCGGTCACAATTAGTTTCTCAAGGGCAAGTTTCATCACAGGCCCCATCTAACATGCCTGGAGGAGGCTTTATGAGTTAATCAGCCATACTTTGGAATTTCCTGGCTGATTATTATTATCATCATCATTATTTTGGTAAATAGATAAAAAAAACTAGTTAGGATAACAAAACGATGCATCTGATTCCGAAGCTTGTCTAGTTATATCTCTAACTTTAATAAGGAATTTATATGTATGTGATCACCTTGGTTACTCCAATGCTAAAGCCACTGCTTCATGCTTGCCATCCTCCGATTAGTGTGGATATTTGTTGAGAACAACAATCAATATTAGCTTGTTCAGTATAATGTTGCGTCTACTTAGTTCTTGCAATTTGCTGTTGGGTGCAATTGTTGCTCATTGAAATTTCCAGCTTGCCTATTGGATTTCCGTGTAATGTTTTTAGAACTCTAGTTTACCAACCAATGAATAATGCTTTGTGGGTTGTAGACTCCGCGGTAATGCCAATGAAATATATATTATGATAAAGTGAACTAGGTTAAAGTGAGTGTTGTTTTTCCTAGAGTCTCGGATTCAAGTATGATGTATGTATAGAAGAGTATTTAAAATATATATTATCTTGGAATCATTTCATACTAATAAAAAAATGATAAAAACAAAGTCTGCTGGAAAGTCTATATCTTCCCAAGCAACTTTTTTTAAGACTAGTATTGCCACAAGCTCCTCTCCCCCACCCTCTTTGACTCTCCCATCTTCCACTATCAACACTACTTTCACTTTCCATTCTTATCATCATCAGGAATCCTCCAACTACATTTTCTTCAAGACAAATCCCAGTTTGAAGAAAAGAATCGCAGCCACCTTCAAAACTGATAGACTAACTGCTTCAGCACTCACAGCTGGAACATCCTCAGAGACAAACACCATCCATCACAATTCCTCACAAGTCTGAGGTTTCGGTGAAGCAAGTTGAAAAGCCCAGGCTGGTTTTGAAGTTCGTATGGATGGAGAAGAACATCGGGCTGGCTCTTGATCAGGTCATACCTGCCCACTGCACTGTTCCGTTGGCCGAGGAAAGACGCCTGGGAAGAGCTCAAGGCTACTCTTGAAAGCAAGCCATGGATTTCTCAGAAGAAGTTGATTATCCATCTCAATCAGGCCACTGATATCATCAATCTATGGCAGCAAAGTGGTGGCAACCTTTCCCAGAGGTAGTTATATGCTATCTTATTCTTTTTTGTTTTTAATTTGAGCATATTTATATTAGGATAATTATTAATTATTAGGAAAATCTCTCACTTGGCTTATAATGAAGACGGAGCTTAAGTCGTTCCAAAAAAAACTAAGAATCAAGATCACATCTCATGAAAATTAACAAACAAACAAAAATGGAAACGAACTTATAGATACGCCTTGTGCTATAATGGAAACTCTCCATGCTTTAAAATGAATTCAGTACCAGCGCACTTGTCTCGTCCTCACAGAAAACGGCCCCTTATGTATAGTAAAGGGTCGTTTACCTTTCGTTCCGGTACTTGGACGAGTGCTCCTCACCGTTGTCTTTAAGCTCCCTTGCGTTCATATTGAAACTGGAATCATGGTTATCATCATCGCTCTCATGAATAACTACTTCCTTTTCCAATAGTTTGATCGGGTCCACTTCATCCATGGACATTGTCCTCATGTCCAGGTTTGCTTCCGATGATTCTTTACTTGGAGGACTTGACATCTTGATTCGACTCCTCTGCTTGACTGTTATGATCATCTGGATCATGGAAATCTGACCGGGATAGTTCCACTGCTGCTCTCGCCGCTGCCGCTGCATACGCAGCCTACTCAAAGGCTGCTTGAGCGGCATCAGCTACATCCTTGTACTTTTTATGTGAAAGTGAATAATTTTAATAATTTAGTTTCATAATATAAAATAAATGAGGTAAAAATATGATTTTCATTTCTATATTACATTTACTTCGAGATTTAATTAGTATACTTTTTTGATATAATCATTTATATATGATTTATTAATTGTCTAATTTGAATCGATTACAGCATAGATGAGCATGACTCTCCCAACAATAGATCAATTTGGTACAAAATCATGTTCAAGGACCTATTTGATGTTTTAGTGACCAGTTTGTTATTTTGAAACTTCAATTGGGAAAACAAAACTTACTCAAACATTAGTGATTATTTGTGCAGTTTACTCTTTTTAATTTTATAAATTCAATGTGTCAAATCAACAATCCATTAAAGGTCTAACGATAATAAAAAAAAATCGTCTCGAATAATTTGGTGTTTCCTAAAAAACGGTTTGAAGAGTCACCACCAATATTTGATTAGAGTGTGATTGGACACCCAAAAACATATTTGTCATTTTAATAAAAATATTAGTTTTTAATTAAAACAACAATTTTATAGTTTGTATTACCAAAAATTTGAGTTTGAGAATCGGTTACGCGTGGGAAATGATTAACACCCCCACAGTGCCTTAAATCGGTACCTGATCAATTAATTAGTTTTCTTTGCAATGAAAATTATATATTCGAGTTTAATTTAATTCAAGATCCCTGCAAATAGTATTCTTTGAATTTTAGGGCATAACATAATAATATTTAATTATTTCTTATAGAGAATAAACGACCTCTCATGCCTTAAAGCAGTCGATTCCTACTCCAATCGAAATAAAAAATATTACAATTTCGTTCTAAAGTTCATTACCAATTCCAAATTTAAATGCATAAATAACAATAAAATAAAATAAAACAAATTAAATTAAATATAAAAATACCAATCCTTTTAGAGAGAAGAATGATATTCGATTATTTAAAGACGTTGAGATCATACCTTTTATAAGTTCTAATGATCTTTTCTCGACGAATTTAATTATACGAATATTTCTCTTTCTCTCGTTTCAAAATTTTAGGTATGGTCGAATTTTAGGTTTTCACTTGATAGGATACAATTTCATTTTAAAATCATCGAAAGTAACATTCTTATACGTCAAGACAGTCATTTCACAATGATCATAAAATGAAATGGCATTACCCTTAATCCAATTATTTGAATGAATCGAGTGATGTTTATGAGGATACCACACAAATTAATTCAAATTAAACCCTAAATCTATACGTATAAACAAAATATATGTTCATACATATTATTTGTAAGCATATAAAATCACACAATTATCATCAACAAACGAAATAATAAATGAAACCAACAACCGATATTTATTTTATTAAAATAATTTCAATTTATGAAAACATAAAAAATGTCAAATACTATACATTTATTTCAAGAGATATAAACATAGTTAATTGACCTAATATATCATACATAAGCAACAAATGATAATATTAATATTATTTTATTCGAATAACCCACGGAAGAACACCCCATATTTTGGAAGTCTTTCGTAGGTTAGTCGAATAATTAACGAAGAATCTTATATAATTCCATAAAATCGATTCCTTAAAAAAATTTAAAACAAGTTGTTGAAAATATAAAATATATGTATATAACATGCAACACTCGTACCACAAAGTAAAACATTTTGTATACTAGATGGAATATCCAAACAACATTAATGTAATATATACGTGAATCAACAAGTCATTTATTAAGCTAAATTATACTAGGCAAATTTGTATTTATAAGGGAAGTCAAAACTATTTACAATAGGACATGTATACTGAAAAAGCAAGAGCGCATTCTTACGCGTATACTATGTATATTAATATATCTCATATGGAAATATTAGCTTCCAAGCAATCATGCCAAATATACATAGATAAAACGTGAAGACCAAGACAATCAAAATAATATTAAAGGCAAATCAAGAATTAATTAGGGACTGAATAACTAATAATATTATGCTTTTAATGATTAAAAATGGAAACCATGCAAAACTAATGATCATAACCAAACAAAATAAAAAGCATTTAAAACAATAAAAGTGACCACGACTGGAATTACTTTGGAGCTCTCAAAGAACTTGGAAAGGAACAATTCTCGAGCCTATCTTAGCTCTCAAGTTCGGCAACACAAGCCACAAAGAATTCAGCACAAAAGGGAACAAGCCGACAAGGCTAGAAAGCTAGAAACAAAGGAACTCAGAGAGAGAGTAAGAGTAAATGACTGAGTTTATTACTCTAAAAGAATGGAATTGATGGAATGATTACAAATGAGGGGAGAAGTTCTCTATTTATAGTTGAGACCCTCAAGATCCAACGGTCTAGATCAGAGTACATCGACAGCTTAGATTGAATCCTTATCCAGAACTCTATCTCTAAGGCATTTGAATTCAAATACAACATTATCCCTAATTAAGTATTTATCTCCTTAATTATTGGATAATATTGTCATTTCTGGAACCTTCCAAGGAACAGGCTAGGTTTGATGGTTCTGAGCAAGCCCAACACTACATAGGATTATCCTACAGAAATTCGCACACACATATCTCGATCAGAATCCACTAGGCTCGTTGCCCACATCGAACATGTAATACCCTCGTCACTTCTCTCGGATGCCTCGGACTTGATCCTTCATGGACTCGTAAGCATTCTCCAAGAACTGGGCCAACTCGTCATGCCCAACAAGCCCAAGTCTACGCACATAGAACCCCTCTTTTGAACATTTACGCCAATATCCATGGACCCAAAAGTTTAGTCCGTGATAATTAGCATAAAATAATCATCTTTCTAATCGAAAATTGACATCCACAAAATATAACAATTCTTAATATTGCATGACTCAAGTGATCTCAATAGTAAAGGGATTATTATTATTTTTTGAGATTTTGGGTTTGAGCACTATAAATGTAAGGAGTACGAGCATTCAATTTTAAAATAGTTAAGAATTACTTTTAAACAAATATTATCTTATACTTTCTCAAATTAATAAAAAATACAATTATTAAGACTGTTTAATCGGTAGATGTAGTCGTGGGACGTCCTTGATTTTGTGTGTTATGTGTCAAAAGTAGGTTTTTTGCTTTAGTCAAGATTGCTGATTAGTGAATTGGATGTATCATACAAAGGATATTTTCGTTGTATACCGACGATGGTCAATAAATTTTTGGGTGTTCTTTTTCTCTTCTACTATCTTGATTGAGTTTTGATTCGATTGACATATGAGAGGGTTTTAACGAGGTTCATATTTTCCGGTTAACCAACCAAACTGAATTATCAAAAAGTTATTAATCGAATTTTTTCCTTTTTAACCAAAAATTGAACCATAAAATGGCTTAAGAGTC